TGAATAATTTTTTTTAATAACGACATTGTAGGGACAATGTAGCGAATATAATCAATTGATGAATTTGAATGTAAAGAATTTTTATATTGGAGAAAAATAAATACAATATAACTAATGAAATTATTTCTCTTATTTAATTTATTGATAATGAATACTTTTTTTTTTGAATAAAGACATTGTAGACACATAATTCTAAATTAAAGAAATTCATATGTATTATTTTTGGTTGTAGCTACTAAATTATTGTTTAATTAATTTAATAAGAGTAAAATAGAGTATTAATTATGTCAACTTTGATTGGGATGTGGTTCGAACCTAAGACCTTTCTTATTGAAATCAATGAATAAGTTAATGGTGAACTAACAGAAATTAACGAAAAAGATAATATTTAACGGAAAAGTTAACGATTAATCATATTCATTAAGGATAAATTAAGAAATCTTAAGAAAAAATTAAAATCTGATAGATCTGAGTCATTCATTTGATTAAAAAATTTGACCGCCATTTTTTCTACCTATTATAGGCCTAACTCTCTTGGCCTCTTTTTAGTATAGTAGATATTGATTTCTTTGTTGGGTAATGTTGGTTTTCAAACTTTTAGAGCAGTCTGCCGGTGGCTCAACACGACCAAAAAAGTAACTGTTTGCGGAAAAATTATGGGCAAATACTCAAAATGTTCTCTTAAATTTGCTGGTGTGTATTAGAAATTACTTAACCCCTTTTAAAGTGCATTAGAAGGTTTTTTATAACGGTCCGAGTGACCGTTGGACTCAGCCTCGTCATTAAATACATTTTAATAGACTAATAATGAACAATAAATGCCTTAATTACACCCTAATCATTGCCGGCTCTTCCCCTCTTCTACAACGTAGGATGCCTACTACTTCACTCAATCGGTTACCAGGTGCCTCCTTCACGCGATCGGCTCCTCGCGACCAATCCAGGCAGTCCTCTGCTCGACAGAACAACTTTCCTTTGATGATTCTGCCAAGATTAACATTCACCATCTTTGGTCTTGGCAAGACGTACCCCTTCTTCTTGTCCTACTCTCCTGGCGCTACCAATCTCCCTCATTAAACACAAGTAGTCTAGACCTTCAACATTCTCCACTCTCGTACGTGAATCTAGACATCTTGAGATGTGATATATATATATAAGGAATAGTGACGGTTGAGGGACGAGTCTAAGGGTGTGATAAGTGGTAAATGGCAAACAAGATTGAGTTAATTCTATTTTTTGTCCTAAATTTATAGGTGCAGACAGTGGCAGAGTCACAATGGGGACAGTGAGGCTGTCACCCACCCAATATATAGTATATATACCAAACATTAATCAAAGGTTGCTTTGGTTTAGATGGCAAAACCACTGGTGTAATACATAATAATGGCCCATTGTTTGAAACCTAGTGTTGAGTTTGGTTTTTCAATTTTTAAATAGCAATAGTTGGAATACTAATTTGATTTTTTTTTTTTAACATTGTGGCTTTTTTTTTTCTTTCTTTCATTTTTTAATATTATTAGTTAGATGAGTGAACTTTTGTTTTGACATTTTTTAATATTTTTTTATCTTGATATATTTTGATTTTTCATCTCTAGTCAACAATATTTATGACTTGGTTTCTAAGTATTTCATTTTTTAAAAATACCACGCTCGTTAGTTTTAATATTTTGCCCCCACCGAATAATATTTCCGGATCCGCCACGGGATGCAGATAATTCACTTTTAATTTATTTTTTTTTATCAGAACATCCACGTTTGATTCCATTATTATTGTGACATGATCATTTTTATTCACTGTCAACAAAATCGTTGAAATATTGCTAAATACAAAGGAATTTCGATCATTTTTATACAAAGTGAGTTGACTTTACTTTATTTTTTTTGAAAAAATTCGTAATTAAAAATCGAAATGACTTTGTATTTAATGACATTAAAATTATTTTGTTAATAGAGGACCAAAAATGATCCTGTCAAAATAATACTAGGACCAAATGTAGATGTATGTTATGATAAAAAAGAACTAAAAGCGAATTGTCACTTATAAATCTATACTAGAACAAAAAACGTAAAAGGCAAATGACAAACAATATAATATAATCAGTTACGTTTATTCAATTCCATCAACACATGGACGGCTAATTTAGATGCATGCTGACTAACAACTTGGGGCGGGCCTGCAGCATGTTTATTCTTATATACACATACACTGGACGTACCTACCTATAGGTGGTAAGTAGATACATTATTATTATTATTATTATTACTATTGCGTAGCTAGCTAACTAGAGACTAGCGTAGCGGTACTGGTGCCCGCCCGCTTAAACAGGTAGCGGGCTGGGCTAGCATTATTAATTTTTTAATTACTTTTGAGAAACTGAACAGTTAAGGAAAGATAACAAATACCCAAATGCATAGTCCCAAGGGGGCACCCGGGATGGGTGCAGAGTGTGCCAATGCTGAAGCACGCGGTGGAGTCGGAGGGACAGTAAGCAATTTGGTAACGGCGATCCTCAACGGTGTTGTCACTGAGAATCATGAAGTTGTGGGAGAAACTGGTCTGAGGCGCGACAAAAGAAGGATCATAGCCGGGGGTAATGTCCCAATATGCCTTATGCGCACACTCGGGCGGCAGCGTGGAAAAGGAGAATTTGATGGCCAGGCGAGTGGACTCCAAGATGGAGGTGGCGGTGGCGTCCTCGGGAATAAACTTAACGGCTCGGCCGTTTTCCTTTGGGTCGGATGTGACCAAGAGGTTGTCTGGGCATCCCACATACGGCGGCGACGACCTCATCTCCGGCGAACCTGAATTAGCAAGTATCACGTCTCCGTAACCGGTGGTTATGTTGTAAAGTGTGTTGGGCTTGACGGGGTCTCCGTCGGCGTCCAGCACCGCCGTGCCGGGATCATGAGCGGTGGGAAGGCGGATGGGATTATAAGTAAAGGAATGAGTTGGGTGATAGAGGGACAATAGTAGTGTTAGTGCCAATAATAACACTCCCACCTCGCTCCTGCTTTTCATCTTAACTTAACTGAAATACTGAATTATATATATATATATAATATATGTTTGATCTTTCTCATCGATCTATCACAGCCATATATGCAATTTATAGGCTACGCTGCCTTATTTTTTATTTTTTTAAATTAATTAAGAAGCTAAGCTAAGCTTAATTGGGGGCATTATTTTGCATGCATGTATGTAGTGGCCGGCGTACTACACTTACACGTATTCTTTAATTTGCATGCAAATGAGTAGGTGGCAATATAATCAGTTTTTGAACAACACCTACATGCATGCAGATTTGTCTCATAAAAACAATGAGTTAATACCCAAAATCGTCCTCGACTATAGTGATTTTTCTCAATTTCGTCCTAAACGATTTTGGTGACCTAATATCGTCTCAGACTTTTGTGTTTCGCTCAATTTAGTCCTCCATTTGTTATTCCGTCAAATTGGTGTTAAATAAATGGACAATTCAGTAATGTCAATATTGATCTCTCTTTACTTTCAACTTGTGAAGTGCGAAATTCCTCTTTCTTGTACGAATTACACCCAGAATTAGTCCCGGACCTGCAAATCAAATTTTATATTCGCAGTTTAATTTTAGAAGTAATTCTGGGAGTAATTCGTAAAAAAAAAAAAAAAAAAAAAAAAAAAAAAGATTTCGCAATTCACATGTCTATGAGTAAAGAGATGCCAATATTAAAATTACTGAATTGTCTATTTATTTAACACCAAATGGACAGAATAACAAATGAGGGACTAAATTGAGCAAAAACACAAAAGTCTGGGACTAAATTGAGCGAAACACAAAAGTCTGGGACGATATTAGGTCACCAAAGTCGTTTAGGACGAAATTGAGAAAAACCACTATAGTCGAGGACGATTTTGGGTATTAACTCTAAAAACAGTAAAACAAACTTGGGGGCTTTGCTGGAAGCTAGCATAGAACTGTATGTACAAGTGTATGTTCATACTTGGGGGCAATATATGGTGCACCAAACGCCCAAATGGCGCTGAACTCCTCCAATAAAGACGCCAAAAGGGGCGCCATTTTTGCGATGGTCTACAGTGCAATGCCATATTTGGCGCTGCACTGTAGCTTGACCTCAAAATGGTGTTAACCTTTCTTATTTGCCCTTTGACCCTTGTCGTTTTTATTAATATTGGATTGCCAAAGTAAAATCACCACTCTCTGGATTCTCAAACCTCCTCACAAACACTCCTCCATTCTCTTTGCAAAATGTCGAGCTCATGCACAACCCGAACTGCATCATACTCAATGGTGGAAGATCAACATTTATGTTGTGTGTATTTTTATATTAGCCAAGATCCTAAAGTTGGTAAGAATCAGGCACAACAAGAATTTTGAATTCGTATTGCGATTGAGTACCATAAAATGCTATCAGTAAATAATGGTAATATTCGATTTTAGAGATCTCTTCAAACTCGAATGCAAAATATAATGATTGGTAATATTCTATCACATGCATATATGCAATTTATAGGCTACAAGTGTATGTTTAAACATGTAAAGAATTATAAACTGAACACACTTGTAAGAGTGCTGCAAACATGCACCATATATTGCCGCCGAGTTTGAACATACACTTGTACATACAGTTATAGCCCCCAAGTTTGTTTTATTGTTTTTATGAGACAAATCTGCATGCATGTAGGTGTTGTTCAAAAACTGATTATATTGCCACCTACTCATTTGCATGCAAATTAAAGAATACGTGTAAGTGTTGTACGCCGGCCACTACATACATGCATGCAAAATAATGCCCCCAATTAAGCTTAGCTTAGCTTCTTAATTAATTTAAAAAATAAAAAGTAAGGCAGCCTAGCCTATAAATTGCATATATGCCTGTGATAGATCGTCGAGAAAGATCAAACATATTATATATATATATATATATATATATATATATATATATATATATATATATATATATATATATATATATATATAATTCAGTATTTCAGTTAAGTTAAGATGAAAAGCAGGAGCGAGGTGGGAGTGTTATTATTGGCACTAACACTACTATTGTCCCTCTATCACCCAACTCATTCCTTTACTTATAATCCCACCGCTGATGATGCCGGCACGGCGGTGCTGGACGCCGACGGAGACCCCTTGAAGCCCAACACACTTTACAACATAACCACCGATTACGGAGAAGTGATACTTGGTCATGAGTATCCGCCTCTGAATTGCCCATACGAGGTATTGGTCACATCCAACCCACCGGATAACGGCAAATCCGTTAAGTTTTTTCCTGAGGACGCCACCGCCACCGCCACCTCCATCTTGGAGTCCACTCGCCTGGCCATCAGATTCTCCTCTTCCACGCTGCCGCCCGAGTGTGCAGATAGGACACATTGGGACATTTCTGGCGGCTATGTTCCTTCTTTTGTCATGACTCACCCCAGCTTCTCCTACAACTTCATGTTTAAGAAGGCTCCCGACACCACCACAGTTGAGGATCGCCGTTACCGAATTGGTTACTGTCCCTCCGTCTCCGGCATGTGCTACACCATTGGCACAATCTGCACCCAATCCGGGTGCCCCCGTGGGATTGCGCATTTGGCTATTAGTTATTCTCCTATAACTGTTCAGTTTCTCAAAACTAATTAAAATTAAATTAATAATGCTAGCCCAGCCCGCTACCTGTTTAAGCGGCCGGGCATCACTACCGCTACGCTAGTCTCTAGCTAGCTAGCTACGCAATAATAATAATAATAATAATAATAATAATAATGTACCTACCTACCACCTATAAGTAGGTACGTGCACTGTATATGTGTATATAAGAATAAACATGTTGCGGGCCGGTCCCAAGTTGTTAGTCAGCATGCATCTAAAATAGTCGTTCATGTATTGATCGAATTGAATAAACGTAACTGATTATGGTCCTGATTGCTAAAGTAATTAGTCTAAGTATAAGTTAATTTTGACTTATTTGATCACTATTAGTTATTTGATTTGATTTAAAAATCAATATAAATGTTTAGTTAATTAGTTTTTTGTACTTCAAAAAACTACTCAAAGTAACATTTTCAATTAGTTTTTTAAAAAATGAAATTATACCAAACAACTATCAGCAAGGCCGACCCTGAGCATGTTTACCCAGAATCATTGCACAGTGTCCCAATTTTTGGGGGCTCCATAAATATATCATAATGTATATATACTATACAACATGTAAGTAGCCTGCTGTAATATAATTTTTTTTTTTTTTTTTTTACAATTCGCTCCAAATTTTGGGGGCCAATTGTAATATATATATATATATATATATATATATATATATATATATATATATATATATATAGGGTCAGGTTCTTGTGAGAACATGTCTTCTCATGCAGTCAGTGCGGCATACACCATTAGGTATGCATAAATGCACCACATAGTGTTTGAAAATATACCATTATATATGGTGTGTTTTTTGTTTGTGTGGTGCATTTTTTGACATTTCATTCTGGTTTATTCTCGAACATTGTATGGTGCATTTATGCATACCTAATGGTGTATGCCGCACTGACCGCACGGGAAGACCTGTTCTCACAGGAACCAATATATATATATATATATATATATATATATATATATATATATATATATATATATATATATATATATATATATATATATACACTACTGGAAATTCTGAAATTTTCGACCACCTGAAAGTGATCATAAATCAAGTTGAAAGTCTTGTTCCGACCACTTTTGGTATCCGGAAAAATCTTTGTTGCTATTTCCGACCACTTTTTAGACTTTTTGGTATCAACTTAATTTAAAATCATTTTCAGGTGGTCAGGAATTTCATAATTTCCAGTACTGATATATATATATATATATATATATATATATATATATATATATATATATATATATATATATATATATATTATTGAGATTATGAGGTTAGAGTATTGCAATAACCACGCACTCACGCAGGAACAAAGCATCAACATAATATTCTAGATCAATAGTCCTCTGACTATTAAGATTTTTTAAATTTGATCCTCATCTTTTAATTCGAACGAAATAAACCATTGACTATCAAAATTGTTTAATTTCATCATTGGTCCTTCTATTAACCAGAGTTAGATAGACATTAAATTAAGTGATAAAAGGGTCCTTTCCATAACTAGGTCTTCTGAGTGCAGCTATTGATCAAATGAAATTGAATACCAAAAGACAAGTTCGCCGCCAAGTAAGGAAAATCTAATTTGCAACCTTTGTATTGCTTCAATTCCTACTTATACAGTACTTGAAATCAAAAGTGAAATTTATGGTTAAATTCAATTGGAAAGCGTTAAATCCTTCATTGTTGACGACTTTGTTGTTCCCAAAGGAGAAGGCTTCGCACCTGCAAATTCGCTTTGGAAGGGAGATACATTACATTGATGTTACAAACTCCATATTAGGTATGCACTGCATGTAATGTATACATATATACTCAAACCAAGATTAGGAAGAGAAACCCAGCAGAAGAAATGATCATTTTACCTCTTAACTTAACGCCTATTTAACTCTTGGTTAACGGAAGGACCAATGGTGGAACAATTTTGATAGTCAAGAATTTATTTCGTCCAAATTAAAAGACGATGACCAAATTTAAAAAATCCCAATAGTCGAAAGATTATTGCTGAAATTAACTATAATATTCTATTACTTTAATATTTTGATAATTTAATACCTAATATCTATTTTCTCTAATCTCTTTTTGTATTCCTTAATCTCTATTTCTCTAATCTCTTTTCCTATTCCCTAGTCTCTTCAATAGGTCATAATCAATAGTTCATTATTTTTATTGAATCTTTCCCCTAAGTTCTTCATCAGACATAATTATTAAATAAAACTTATTAACTTAATTGTACATATTATATAATTTATTTCAAAATAATTATTTATTGACATGACTTATTAACTTAATAATTTTAAATATTGAATAATATATTCAAGAGTTTGCTTCTTAATACATTTCCTAAATTATTAATTGATAGAAATTATAAACAATTTTTTTTCTTAGGATTTTGTAACGATGTTTTCTAGAAAATATTCATCTGGGTCTGAAAAGCGTAAAAGAAAAGGTGAATTGAACAACTAACTCAATCTCAAAATTGAGCTCTTGAAAAATTCATTACAAAAGAATATCAAATAGATGAGGAAGAATGATGCCAATGAAAATTTGTGATATGCTAATCTTCACAAAGAATTGTTAGACTTGAAAAAATTTAAATGATAATGTGCACAACAATTATAAATATCATTGTGACGATGAAAATGATAAGAATATTAATGATTGTTTAGATGATGATGGTCACAACGATAAACCAAATGATTCGTTTTTATTTGACATATATGATCCAAGAAATTGGGATACCCTTGTTTTTAGATTAATAGATATTCTTGTTAGAAGGGGCCCAAAATTAGATGTTGCACAAGACCTCTATTTGTATTGGAACGACCTTGACTATCAGCTAACAGCTAATTTACCAAATATACCTTTTTACAATCAGCTAATATTATCAACTACTTATACCTTATAATTAACTCAATCAACTTGACACATCTAGTATATCTTTCGTTCTTTGAGAAGAACATAACTGCCGTATTATCACAATGAATCCTCAATGGTTTGGCTATAGTGTCGACAATTCCCAAACCCGATTAAGAATATAAATAGGGAATGGATAGACAAATAGGACAAATGTGCATAGTAGAGTCGCGAGGACCAAATATTGTATTAGATAGTGATAATCGAGCTATTACAATGGTTATCTAGGTAATGCTAGAATAGGATAGAAGATCAAGAATATGTCCTAATGGGACAAAACATGGGGTATTTATACATAGAAAATTCCCTAACTGCCCCCCCCCCCCCCCCCCTAAAATGGTGGGTCGGTTGCATCACCGCGTTGACCGCACCCGGGTCCGAGCCCCGGATTTTTCGCTTGAATGGGCCGACCTCTCTCTGGCCGAGTTCACTTTGGTCGACCTCTCTTGGACCGAAGCCTCTTGGCCGAGCTCTCCTAGGTCGAGGTGTCTTGGACCAAGCACGGGACTCAACCTTAGAACCCCAAATCTATTCCAGACCTTCTCGCTCCGCTTTCTTGGATCAATTTGCTCCAATTATAATATATTCATCAATATTGTTTGCAAATTAAAGAATGAACACGTACGTGTAGTAAGAGTACAGTGCTAAGCTAGCTTCCAGCAAGTTTGCATGCATGTACGTGTGGTTCAAAAACTGATTATATTGCCACCTACTCATTTGCATGCAAATTAAAGAATACGTGTAAGAGTAGTACGCCGGCCACTACATACATACATGCATGCAATATAATGCTGCTAGCTTCTTAATTAATTTAAAAAATAAAAAATAAGGCAGCCTAGCCTATAAATTGATCCAATTGTCCAGGAGTGGAGATATTCGTTTCGGCAAGACTGATGCTCCCTTGATTGTTCAGTTTGTCAAATCTCATTAAAAAACTGTTTAATTTAAGCACCCGCACCGCTAGGCTAGGTGCCTACGTAGCGTTATAATAATAATAATGTTACATCCTCCTAGATACTCTGTCGGACCGGATATGGGTCTTAAGATTTAGATATTCAATATTTTGGGAGTAATAACAACAAGAAATAAGGGTCAAATAGGCTACCCAATTGCACATTAAATTACAATTAGGCCACCAAATTTTAAAAAAAAATACAATTGAATCCCTGAACAACACAAAATTATGCAATAAGGTCCAAAATAATCTGTTTACCTGAAATTGTAGGTTACCGATTTTAAAAATAATTTTAAATAAAATAATTAATTAAAATTAAAATAAATAAATAAAACTAAACCTGCCAGAGACGATTCGTCTCCCTGGCCATGGAGATGAAGGTCTCTTTGTCTCCATGGCCGAGGCCATCCGGAACCTTCGTCTCCGGCCATGGAGATGAAGCCTGCCGGAGACAAATCGTCTCCGACAGGTTTAGTTTTTTTTTTTTTTAATATAATTTTAATTAAAATTAATTATTTTATTTAAAATTATTTTTAAAATCGATAACCTACAATTTTAGGTAAACAGATAATTTTGGACATAATTTTGTGTTGTTCATGGACTTAATTGTATCTTTTTTGAGTTCGGTGACTTAATTACACTTTAGTGTGCAATTGGGTGGCATATTTGATCCTTATTCCTAAAAATAATAATGTATGTACCTAGCTACCTTGTTTGTCATTTGCCACCTACTCATTTAATTGCAAAGAACACGTACGAATAACCAGCTTGGGGTTGAATGGAGATTAGTACATTGCCTAGCTAATTCTTTTATGTTCCTGTATGCATGTGAAACTACTTGATGATCATCAGTACAGTGCCTAGCTAATTCTTCATATTTTCACCTTGCCATTATATTATTTCTTATAATGTTGCTCAAAGTACGTGTTCATCATTTCATTAATTTGTGTGTTTTGGTGTAATTCTCAATTGAATTGAAGGATTTCGGAGCATTTTGAATGCATTTAATTAGAGCCATCAATAATGAGAGCTAAGCTGAAGCTAATTGAAAACGTAGTTTCTGTGGTGGATGAAAATTAAAGTAGATTGGAAATGAATATTCCAAGGGTTGTCGTTTCAAAAGATGGAAACTTAAAATTGAATATTGTGTGGTCAAGTATAAGTACGCATTGGCACTAGGAGGCTAGGGGAAACATTGTACATGGCACAAGGAGGTAGGAAGCACAACAAAGGGAAACATACAAGACCATAAAAGAAAACTATACAATACAAGATGGAGTGAATTGGAATCCCCTTGATTGTAATATAGAGACATTAGCGAGAATTGAGGCTATGTGATGGTTTGATCTTTGGCACACGCTATGTTAGTTGCTAAGTCGATACGTACTTGGCCTCTTAGGCAAATTCTATGTCTAAGGCATTACATCTATCAAACATCTAACCTACGCCTCCACTCGAGCATTGCCTTCTCGGATCGAAGGACGGGGAATGCAAATATGTAAGACTTCATAGAATCACAATCTCTTGCCAATTCTACTCTCTCAAACTCCTCACTCATCCTAGTCGGTAATGAGGAAAGGATAAACTCATGACATTATCCACAACAAAAGCATTATGACATAATTGCAACATCAAATCTCTATAACATTGAAAGATCAAACATGCATAATCTCTAGATCATCAATTCCAACTCCTAGATAGCCTAGCCACAAATCAACATGAATTGAAAGCATAAATGTAGGAACTCGAGTCTAGCAACCTAGAATGTGGAATGGATGAATCAAAATATGAAATCAAAAGATGAATTAAGAAGAGTTACCAAACTTGAGTCCACAATTGCAATTCAATCTCAATTACATGAATTGGAGAGAAGCTTTTCTACAATCAAGGAAAGTTGTCAATTCTCTACAATTCTAGATCATCTTTCACTTGGACATTGAAGATCAAAGATGTAACTAGATGAATCTAAACTAATTTAGACAGAGAAAATATCTATAAGACTAATCTAAGTTCTGGAAAATGAATCTAACCTTCTAAAATATCTAAAATTTATACTATTTAAAGACGAAAATCGCGCCTTTGTGTGTTTGCTTCCTGCTTACTGTGTTTGCTTTTAGATTTTTAGGGCTTGAGGAAGGGAGGGGGAATTGTATCGATGAAGAAGATGGAGTGAAAATTAGGAGAGGCAATCTTATAAAAAATAAAAGAAAAGAAAATTATCATGTTAACATCTAACCCACGCAGAAATAAATATTTGTTTAACCTTCCTTCCTTAAGGGGTTGAAGTTGATTTCGCTATGAAGATTTGCATTTCTGTGTGCATCTTAATAAGGGGAAGAAGAATGAATCATTCCACAAAAAGTCAACTAACATAATTTTTAATAAATGACTAAATTGTGTAAAATCATCAAAATCGATGACTAAATTAAGCACAAAAAGTCACTTAGGACTAAATTGAGTAAAACCATTATAGTCAAAAACTATATGTTGGGTATTAACTCTAATTATTTATTTTGGACATATTAATGCATTTCACGGTATACTCAAAACCATATATGTTTTGGTCAAGCCAATTAAGAGGTGTCTTGAGCAGGCACTAACTGTAGGAGACACATGCATTAATCTCGTACCATACTCATATTAATCCTCATTCGCATCGGACCAGCCTAATTAAGAGACAAAGTGTTGGCCAAATTGATTTTTCTATACGAGAGAGAGTTTGAACTCTCGACCTCTCTTAAGGGACGAGAGTGCACGGCCACTCACGCCAACCAAGCTGGTTACTCAGAAGTGAATAGCCCATTTAGCTTCTCGGAAGCCATATGCATCCTCATTGTTGCGTTTGTCTCATATAAGGATTAGGAATATGAGTTTGTCTCATATAAGGAATAGGAGTGAAAGGGGGATTATATGCCTATAAATATATTGAATGTATCTCATCACCTGGATCACCATCACAAATAATAAGAGAATACTTTCACTCCCGTGGATGTAGGCACATTGCCGAACCACGTAAATCTTGTCTTCTTTACTTTCAGCCATTATTATTTTTCTTGTTCTTGTTAATCTTAACAAATTGGTATCAGAGCATAGTTGAGAGGTCTAGTTCAAGTACAAAATTCGAGGTATCAAAGTTTGATGGTATAGGGAATTTTGGGTTATGACGGTCTAGGGTAAAGGATTTGTTGGCACAACAGGGTCTTCTGAAAACCTTGACGGAAAAGTCAGCTAATCTGGAAGAGGCTAATTGGGAGGAGTTGAAGAAGCAGGAAGCTATGAACGTGGTTCAAGCCGATGACTCTTATTATAGTGAAGATGATGTTCTAGCGGTAACTAGTAACAAGTTCGAACATTGTTTGGACTTGTTGGGCGTTTCTAGAGTCTAGATGTGAAGGTGGTGAGGGGCGCTGTGGTGTTGGGCAGCGCGGGTACCAGGAGGGGTCGTGGACTTGGTATCGGTATGGGTCGGGCTTGCATGAGTCACGGCTGGTACGGGATGGGCTTGTCATGAGTCAGAGTTGATATGGGTCGGGCTTGGCATGAGCCACGACTGGTATGACGGATTGCTTGGGACGAAGCAATTCGTGAACATGCACTGGAAAACGTTTGATGCTGCGTGGTGCATGTTGCTGACTAGTGACAATTGCTGGTTGGTGGAGCATTGGGCCAGGCACACGAGTTTAGTGTGACTTTGCAGGGGCGCTGTTGTGTTAGGAGTAGCGTGGATACCAGGAGGGGACATGGACCTGGTATGGGCCAGATGCAGGAAGTCAGTTGAACAAGACAGTTAGCAAGAGTCGTGGGTGGTATAACAGGTCGACGGCTGAGGGGCGAATGGCTTGGGACAAAGCGGTTCGTGTACATGCTGGAAAACGTTTGATGCTACTTGGTGCATATGGCTGGCTAGTTGGGATGAGCATGGTTGTTCCTACCCATGTGTATATGTGAGATAAGTCTTTTTCTCCTAAAGGGCTTATTTGCGAAGGTGGAGATGGTTAGATAAGTATTTTCTCCTAAAGAGCATATTCGCCAAGGTGGAGATTTGTTGAGTTATCTTTTCTCCTAGAGAGCATATTCGCCAAGGTGGAGATTTGTTGTGTTTGTCTCATATAAGGATTAGGAATATGAGTTTGTCTCATATAAGGAATAGGATTGAAAGGGAGATTATATGCCTATAAATATATTGAATGTATCTCATCACCTGGATCAGCATCACAAATAATAAGAGAATACTTTCACTCCCGTGGATGTAGGCACATTACCGAACCACGTAAATCTTGTCTTCTTTACTTTCAGCCATTATTATTTTTCTTGTTCTTGTTAATCTCAACGCCCATAAATCCTACAACAGTTTCCTTCTATTATTTTCTTTATATGCTCTTTGAAATTCCTCATGAAACAAGCATTTTCATCTTCACTAAACAAACCACCATAACACTCTAACCATGCATAAGCCATTAGTTCATATTCAGACATACCTTCCTCAACATTCTTCTCTATTCCATGATAACCTACCTTCGAGCCGCATCCAAGTATATGCATAAACTCGTGAGCCAATATTCTTCCTATAACTAACCTATTGATCAAATAGATCTTGAAATAAAGAGTACATTACAAAATTAATTTGTACAAATGAAAAAAAAAAAAATAGTAGCTAATCTTAATCTTATTTCCGGTCTTATACTTGTATAGAAGTTAGTTTCACGTTTCAATAACATAATGTTAGACTCGACTCTCTGAGTTGTTGCCTGATGGGATATTTACCCCAGGACCGGATGGATGAACGACCCAAGCAGAGCAGCGAGCGAGCAGGTTAGGAGTCGGGGGATACCAAGAGGAAGAAGGGGTACATCTTGCCAAGGCCAAAGATGGTGAATGCTGATCTTGCTAGAATCATCACAGGAAAGTCGTTCTGCCAAGCAGAGGATTGCCTGGATTGGTCTCGAGAAGCGGATCGCGTGAAGGAGGCACCCTGTAGCCGATTGAGTGAGGTTGTGGAAGAGGGCAAGAGCAGGCAATAATTAAGGTGTAATTAAGGCATTTATTGTTCATTATTAGTCCATTAAAATGTATTTAATGACAAGGCTGAGTCCAATGGTCACTCAGATCCCTATAAAAGGCCTTCTAATGCACTCTAAAAGGGGTTAAGTAATTTCTAATACACACAAGCAAATTTAAGAGAACATTTTGAGTATTTGCCATAATTTCCCCGCGAACAGTTACTTATCCGGTCGTGTTGAGCCACTGGCAGACTGCTCTAAAAGTCTGAAAACCAACCTTACCCAACATAGAAATCAATAAAGATAATAAAGAGGAAGAAGTAGAGAACTGAAGAATTAAAATAAACACAGGATCATTTCACATAGATAATACTTATCCTTATTTCTTCAGATTTATTTAGGATTTACACAACCAGGCCAGCTTGGATTTGTTGCATGTTTATTCTTACACATACGTACAACGTTGTCAAAGTGGCAATAACGCTATTACGTTACTTATTTAGCATATATAGCTACCATGCAACCTCACGACCGGCGCCGGCGCCGGCGCTTTTTTCACGGTTACACATCAGTAGGTTTGATGACAAAAACGAAGGGAGAATTGGCGAGAGCCAAACGCGTGGTCCTCAACAAGGGGTCGTGGTATCTGCCGACGTTGTAGCATTTGTCGGAGCCGAACTGACAGTAAGTGAGTTTGTAGAAGTTAAGGTTGGCATCCACCACCTCAATCTTGAACTGGTTGCTATTGTCGGAGACAAACTCGCCGGCTTTCAAGAAATACTGCCCGGACGCGCCGTCGTGCTGGATCCCCCAGTTCACGTTGTTTACGCAGAGCTTGTTGGTGGCGACGTTGAACCGGAAGGTCTGGTACGTCGACGGCATGACGACGGTGGCTTCCGCCGCCGCCGGCGTGATGGTGATGGGGTCGCCGTTGTCTAAGTCGCTCGGGGATACGATCACGTCGCTGGCGCATTTGCTCATCATGTCCAGCCGGGCGAGTCTCAGCCCTCCTCCGCCGGCTCCCCATACGGCGGAGACCATGTAGTAGTTCCCGCCGGCGACGACCGCGTCGCCGTTGGCGTCTAGCACCGGAGTTTCAGACGAGGCGGCGGCTTCGTGTGTGGTGGGGAGGCGGATGGGATTGAAGGTGGAATGAGCTGGGTTGGGGAGGAGATAGAGGGAAAGAGCGAAGAAGAGTAAGAGGGCTTTCATCATGACTTAATTGGGAGAAAGCTAAGAGGTAATGATGTTTAATTTAATTTGTTGGTGTGTTGTGCTGTGTTGAGCTCTCATGCATGCAATTTATAGACAACAAGAGATAAGGTTGAATTATTGTTTTTGTTAAAGTTCTTAGATTATTTTGCCAACTTATCACTTGTTACAAATTAAATAAATAGGTAGTGTCAATCAACTTGTCGTCAAGTGACAAGAAGTGACCCTCCTAAATGAAAAGTCATAAGTTCAAGCCTTTATAATGTACTCCGTAATAGAGTAAAAGACTTTTATTTGTCATTCTCTCAAGATCAAGCCCAGCAATCCCATTTTCATACCTTCCAAACTTAGAGTGTGTTTAGTTGGTGGGTTTTGCCCATAGGAATGGGTATGAAAGTGATTGTTGGTGTTTGGTTGATGGGTTTTTAGAACACTATTATGAGTTTTGAATATCGTACCCCATCAATTGTAAAACTCATACCCAAATAAAATAAGGATTTTATTCCCTTATTCATTCTCAAGCACTACTATTAGTAACCATTCTCATTCCACCCTACTATCAAACATGTTAAATACTTTCACCAAAACCCATTACCATTACCAAGTATTTGATACCCATTCCGATTCCGATTCTTATGTGCGAACCAAACACACCCTTAATTATGCCAAAAGCTATATAGCCTAATGGTAAAACTACTTTTCAAACTTAATTACGCCAAAAGCTATATATAACTAATAGCGCGCCTAATAGTAAAACTGCACAACATATGACTTTGTGATGATGACCTGCTTATATATCAATTGTTAGTAGCGAATGCCTAACTTTATTTCGATAACAGAATGCTGAACTCCACTCTCCAAGCTGCTATACTCAACATCTTCTAATATTCATCTATGGGCAAAGTAAGGGTGTGTTTGGTTTGTGGGTTTTGCCCATAGGAATGGGTATGAAAGTGATTGTTGTTGTTTGGTTGATAGGTTTTTAGGACACTACTATGGGTTTCGAATACCCATTCAACTGAAAATTAAAACCCATACCCAAATACAATAAGGGTTTCATTCCCTTATTCATTTTCAAGAACTACTATTAGTAAACATTCTCATTCCACCCTACTACCAAACATGTTAAATACTTTCACCAAAACCCACTACCATTACCAAGTATTTGATACCCATTCTAATTCTGATTCCTATGTGCGAACCAAACACACCCTAATATTTTTTTAATGATTAACGGTAATTAGTTTACCACAATCAATGTTAAAAAATAAATAAAATCAACTAATCAAATATTATGGAGTGGGGAGGTAAACATTGTGAGGTAAATAAATAACGGAAATACATTATAGCATTACTAATAGGAATTTTTAAAAAATATTTTTCAAACAAAACTTTTATTAGTGATGCATAATCTTTACATATTTTTTTCTAAGAGACGGTTTTATATTAGTGTTTTGCTACATACAATGTTGACGAATATATTATACACACAACCCGAACCGGAATAGCAACGCAAACTCGGAGCACCACGATGGAGCCCAAAGCATCTTGGAGGTGTCCCGACCCGAGTCATGTGGGGTGTTGGGTTCGGGTCGGGTAGCTCGGCCTTAGCCGAGCTCGGACCATAATGAGCTCGGGTAAGGGAGCTCGGCACTACCCGAGCTTGGGGATCCGACCCAACCCGACCCGGCCCACCCGGGTCTCCCGTCAACGGGGTGATCTAACCGCCCCCTGGTTTAGGGGCGCGGTTGGGAGTTTGTTGCATATAACCCCCCCCCCCCCCCCCACCTCATCTGATCTTGTTCTATACACTTTGTCCTAAAAACCATTGTAATAGCCCATTTACGACATTTAATACAATATACGGTCCCTGCGGCTTTTACAACATCGCTTCGTGTTATTTATTTATTATTTACATTACATTCTTATCCGGATTTATTGATTCGGGCCCACCCCGGGTTAATTAAATCCATCAAATGTATTGTTAAAAGATGATATGGTTGGTTGAATAGGTATAGACTAGTATAATTCTCGTACCTAAAAATTATAAATTTGATCATTATTAATATTCTTCAGTCGAGTCTGTGTCCTAGTGCATATTATCCAGTAATAATTGTGAATTTTTTCAGTCACAAAAAATGATATGATCATTTTTAAGTAATGATTGTAAGTTTTTTCAATCACAACAACAATAATATGGTAATTCATTACATGCACATCAATGATCTAGTAGATTACGTTCGATCATGTTGGGAGAATTGAGTTATAAAAGACAAAAAAACAATAAAGCTGTCTTAAATAAAAATAAAATAAAAAACAAAACAAAACAAAACCAAAAACAAAAACATAAAAAACTCATGGCAAAATTTATGGATCGGTCCTACGAGACACTTACGGTGTGTAATGGGATGGGACAAAGTTGATAACGATCTCATGCTGATAGGAGTTGGGAGAAAAAATAGAAATGATTTGAACCGTCCAAGTGTCCAATACGAGACAGTGATTGACCGATGGATGCTTTTATGGTGTGTAATGGGATGGGACAAAATTGATAACGATCTCATGCTGACAGGAGTTGGGAGAAAAAATAGAAATGATTTGTGGCCGTCCAAGTGTCCAATGGTTTTACCATGGATGAAGTCTAGGATCTTCTTTTTTTTTTTTTTGAAAACATAAAGTCTAGGAGAGTTCTACTACACAAACTCCCAAAATTTTACTCTCTCATTTATACTTCCTGAGGTGGTCAATTAGGATTGGTTATTTTCATCATATGGGTCCACAAAAAAATGTTTACATCAAGAACATGTGAGAGGGAGTACAAGTTGGGAGTTTAAAATGGGAGTACACCAAGTATTTTCCAGTCTAGGATGAGCATCAATATCAGTTAGGGTTATTAAGGGGTTATTGTAAGAGTGTTAGAAAAGAGAATGTGGGTGGGGAGAGAATAAAGAAAAAATAAATAAAACAAATTTTTTAAAAAAAAATTTTAAAAAAAATAATAAAGTAACAGTCAGGCGCGCCCGTGTGGCTTCAGTTTCGCGCACAGCTATTCAGGCTTCCTCTGACCAGCACCGTTCCAAGCACCCGATCCTTGCATAAGCATTTCTTTTTTTCTCTCACCTGATTCTCTCTCCTTCACCAAGGATGCAAAACCTTAATATGCGTGAAAGCTCTCATCATTATCTGTTGATGTGCATGCTCTTAGGGCATCCTCAATAGTAATGAGTTTTTCGCGGTTTTTAAGGTGCTTACTAGGAGAGAGAGGATGAAGGAAAAAAGAGAAGAAAAAGAAATTTGAAAAAAGAAAATAAAAGAAATACATAAAAAGCTGTGCCAATTCAAACGCGCCCAGAAGGCACGTGCTATGCACGCGCCTTACTGGGCGCGAAAATTGTGCAATACGCGCTTGTTTTCTCATTGTTTCTCTTTGTTTAATAATTGATGGGGCCCACAAAGAACACATTTTTGTAGGAGAAAAAAATCACTAAAATTCTAACCACCACATTTGTTTAAAACTCAACCTCAAGTTTTTACTATTTCAAAATCTAGGTAAAATTTCCTTATTGGGGATGTCCTTAGGAACAAGAAGTTTTTTTATTGATTTACGTGAAAATTCACAATCACCCCTCCTCAAATATAAGTTATGAGTGAAATTCGTCTTATAATTATAATCAGCAGAAGATTAAAATAAGATAATGTACAAAAAATTTGGTTAAAAAACGTTTAAAATGATCATTTTGTGGTATAATTTTCAGTGGAGTCCGCTTTTAATTTGGATAGGGTTAAAATAAATTAAAGTTCTTCTAAATATGTTTAATTGAGATGTTTAATTTGATAAATTATATATATGTAGTATGTACACCGAGATGGATAATGGTGATTGAGAAATTGATTGCTTTTGTCCCACATTGAAAAAGTAATGTGGATTGCAGTATTATATATATAATTTTATTTAAAAAAAATTAAATTGCATAACATAAAAACTTGGTCATGCATAAGGGTGGGAGTTCAAATCAAATTCCAATTCACTATTGGTTTGGATTTTTTAGTTAGACCAATAGACCCGTCTCATGGAGAGTCCTGTCTATTAATTCTCTTTTTCCTTCATCTAAAAATAAAAAAACAATCGATATATGCTCTTTTGTGTGTAAACCACGAGGTGTTCCAGGCATTTCTTCATTCGTCTTACGGTCTGAGTTCACCCGACTAATCCACGTTCACTCCGAGAGACATGAGAGTTGGCCAAATGGAAATTGTCACTTGTGAAAATTGAACCCGAATTATTCCTAAGATCGTCCCCACAAAGAAGTTCCTTTGTCACTTCTTGAATTACCCCTTTGGGTTAATTGATATATCCTCATCATTAAATTTACAACATTATTTATAAACCATACAATATTGGGTAATTAAAATCACAAATTATATTGACGGTGTAGAATTCAAGTTGGTAAATTACAAAGTAGTCACAATATATTGTCCCATTACATGCCTAAAATGTAACAATCAGTCAGTCCGTACTGGTTGGTGGAACCAATTTATAAATTGTGCAATCTATTCAGAGTTTTAGCTACTACTAATCCCATTAACACCAATGAAAGTCCTATAATTGCAATCCTTCTTGCCGTTCTTGGCAAGTTTTTGTTTCTTAAATGTCACATCAATGTCTCATTTTTGAAAAAATTACTTATGTTTGTTTTATTATTATTAATAAATTACAAAGACATTTATTTTACTTAAAATTTTATATTTTGTATTTTTATATTTAACTTAAATAAATAATTATATATATGTTTAATTTTTGATAATTTTAATTTTTTTAAAAAATAATTGAATATATGAAGTAAGATATTAATTCTTAAGTGTATACTTTTCATTTACTCATGCACACAAGAAATTGTCTAGAAATTCTTGTATTTGATTCTCAATCGTAATGATGACTCAATAGACCTATAAATTTACACAATATATATATATATATATATATATATATATATATCAATATTAGTGTTATTTAAAATATCATAATTAAAATTTTGTTTTTTATATCAAATTCATCATT